GAGTAAAATGATTTCAAATGACAGCGTATTTAAAGTACTTTTTTTAGTTAAAATTTCACTTACATATATATATATATATATATATATATATATATATATATATATATATATATATATATATATATATATATATATATATATATATATATATATATATATATATATATATATATATATATATATATATATATATATATATATATATATAGCTTATGATTCCAGAATATTTGAGAAAACTTATTTACTTTATGTCTAATTGTTTAGATAATAGTTAACAGTTTAGCTAAAAGTAAATATTTTAAAGTTAATGTTTCTGCTAATTTTGATGATTGCTAACACATTTTGATACAAAAGTTGAATAGTTTAACGAAAGTCGTGTTTTTTATACAATTTTCCAAACTTTTAATCGTGACTGTTATAAGTTAGACACATAGCTTCGTTTAGGTAAGAAGCCATAATAACCTTTCGTAAATAGACCGTTGTCGTAGCAGTACTTCATGTTTTGTTTGTAAATGAGTCTCTCCATTGTCTTGCACGGTACTGATGCTAGTGACATCGGTCTGTAGTTATTGCGAAAGATCATTTTTAATAGTACGGTGTAGCAGTGCAGCAGCGCAGCTTTAAAGGACACAATATTGCCTTCTATTTTAGCCTTTAGATTTATTTGATTAGCTCTTCAAGATTTTGCTGTATGGCTGCTCCCTAATAAACTTGCTCCTTGCTTGTGTTTGGCTCCGAACTTCGGTATTTGATCTAGAGGTTCAACGACAAATGCAGACTGAAAATACTTATTCAGTAAATGCAAAATTTCTTGCTTATTTGTAGTTATTTTCGAATGATTTCACTAATTCGTTTTCCTTTTGCTTATGCCTAATTTGGGTATAAAGATGTTTTGGCTTGTAGTTGAAGCGTGCTAGGATCTCACTTTTGTAGCTAATGGTTGCTGCCATTACCAACTTGTTGAGTTTTTTGCATGATGTTTTGTGATTTTTACAAATCGTCTTGTGTGTTCATCTACCAGCTGCTTAATATTTTGCTTAGTATTTCTTTCTGCTTTTGTACAACTACTTCAACTTGTGGTGTATTCCACGGTCCTTTTTTCATCTTGAGAGATAACGTAGTTACGGGTATGTGGGTTTTGGTTGCATCGCTCATTTTGTCTACCAGTAGTTTATAGTTATTGTCAGCTGAGAAAGAAACAAAGATGCTTGTCTAGTCAAAGGCTATTATTTGTGATCAGTCGTCATAGTTTGCTCTAACCCATATGTACCTTTGTTTGTGATTGTCTGTGGTGCGGGTGTTGTTTGTTAAAAATGACCAAGCAATATGCTTTGACTGCTGGTGCGAGTCGCTTGTATTTAGTTTGATGATTTAGTCTGGTTTGTTTGTAATATTTAATTATAGTGTGCTTATTGGTCTTTCTTTTCTATTTTTTCAATAAGTATGAAAAGTAATCATTTCCACATTGGCAACTGTTGCTGAAGTTAAAGTTGTTGAAGATTAATATGGATGAGCATTCCTGTTTTAAGATGCTTTGCTTTGCTGCACCGACTGACTCTGTTTAAAGGACTGTTTTTGTTGCCGTGCGGATGATAAATCCACCCAAGAGAATTGATTCATTGTTTAACTCGACAACTCGCTATACTTGCTCTATGTCTTATGAATTCAATTGCTTTATGTCAATTTCAGCTACAGGTATATTATATTTTATGTATATTGCCACACTTAATATCTCCATGTTTCTATGTTTTTGTTGTGTATTTAGTAGTCTTGTTGCCAAATGTTTAACAAGTTAGTGAACCACCATTCTAAAAAGAAAGAGCAAGTCTAGTTTGTCTTCTAGTTCTTTCTAGTCTATTCTCGCCATTAATTCATCACGTTTGGCACCATTCAGTAAGCGCGAATTATTTGCATAAAAATTGAGTTGTTTTCAGTTAACTTTATTGCTGGATTAAGGGTTAGGTGTGTTGAAGTGGGGTTGGTGAGGTTTAGACTTAAACCGCGCTTAACGTGGTCGGCTTGGCAGCAGAAGTTGCAGTAGAGTTTATATTGATGTTATTTATGGAGGCAATGCTATCAACAATGTTAATATAAACTATTGCTGACGGCTAATTTGAATTCTTTAAATTGATTTTTGTTAAATCAAAATAAATTACTTGTTATTACTAGGTTGTTCAATGCCAATGCATCACACAATGCATCACACAATGCATTGTGTGATGCATCTCACAGATGCATCACACAGATGATAAATATGTATTCTTTCTTTTTTTGATAGGCAGTTTATCTTAAGTTTTAGTCTTGTTGCTTTAGGTTAGCCTTCCATTTCTGGATTATAATTATTTTTTAATTTTTATAATAATAATAATAAAAATAGTTATATATATATATATTTTTTTTATAGTTATATATATTATATATATATAACTATAAATAATTGTATATATATATATATATGTATATATATATATATATATATATATATATATATATATATATATATATATATATATATATGTATATATATATATATATATACATATATATATATATATATATATATATATATATATATATATATATATATATATATATATATATATATATATATATATATATATATATATATATATATATATATATATATATATATATATATATATATATATATATATATATATATATATATATATATATATATATATATATACGGGTAAAGACCACACAGGTAACACAACAGATGTGCACTTTTTAAAAATTGCAAGTTTTTTATATTTTTATTATATTTTAGTAATAAGCTCTTTTAATTTAAAAATTCATAACAAAAAAACAATGTTTTAAGGTTCTATGGTCAATTAAAAAAAAGGATAACTTTGAAACAACCACTGTTGTCCAATGTTTACCGCATAAAAAATACAATTGTCCAAGTTATTTATAACTAAACCAATTATAATAAAACTTACTTTATATATATATATAAATAAAATAAGTTTTTTTTTTTTAATGACAAAAATTTTCTTGAACTTTTTTAAATTTTCTATTAATTTATAAGGTGTACTTTTTGTGTCCTAAAAAAATAGAAAATGGACTCAATAATATTTTGGTTCTGATCTTTTTAATTGTGAAGTAATTTGCTTAAACTTAAAAAAAAAAATATGCCTAAACGTTTGAAACCAATATGTATACTATTCCAGGCAATACTTGTTTTATTTTTTTAACACTAATATACTTTCAACTCAAAAATTATATTTTTATTGCTATGATGAAACTGTTGAAATCAGATGGTCTGGTGTTGTATGTTCTATGCTGCATGATTTTAAACTATCAGTTGTCTCAAATGTAAAGGATATCAAATTGGTTTGCAATTTATGTGCAAGGCAAAATACCAAATAAGAAGTTTTAATTTATTTTTATCATCTAGTTTATAAAACTACAAAACTTGACAGCATTACTGTTTCATTATCAATTAGAACTCTGTCACATTATGTATAGGCATTGCTCCTCTAAAAAATGTGACAGAAACATTGGCCTTTGCAAATCAAAAGTTTCTTGCAGAAACACTAGACAATCTCACAAAAAACCATAACAATTCAATATTGTATATAAACATGATACAAGAAATATTTCTGAAATTTGCATAGTTTCAAAGCCAAACTTCTTGGTTGTTTGTTCATTTAAGACATGTTCACTTAGAGAAATTGAAATATTAAAGGCTAGTTAAAATTTGATTATATGAAAAAATAGAAATATTGAATTTTATGTGTGTTACATCCCATATGTTTAGATCAATGAGCGAAGTGCCTGATGAAGGCACTTCGATCATTGATCTAAACATATGGGATGATAAACTTCGATCAATGATCTAAACATATGGGATGTTGCCTTTTTTTGTTAAAAAAGCTCTGTTGCCTTTTTTTTGTTAAAAAGACTTACTTAAGCTAAAAATTTTCTGAATGGACAAAATCTTTTTTATTTTATTTTATTTTATTTTTCTTTGAAAATAGAAATAAAATATTTTTGTTAACGATGTGTTCACAATTGGTTTCAAATCAAGTTTTTATAAACCATATGTATAGTTTGTATAAACCATACATATGGTTTATACAAACTTGATATAAAGTAATGGAACACAGACATCCTGGAATTATCTGTGGTAAACAGATGAGGTTGGGGAAGAGATAAGGTTGCAATGCTATTTTGTATAAGTTAAATAAAACTTTCATATAGTATTTTGTTTGAACTTTTTTTATTAAAGGAGGGGGAGGGGGTTGGGAATGGCTTTATTATCCCATCGTACGTAACGTACGTTGTAGTTGTATATTACAATATGTTACCATCTACCTTTAAAAAAATAAGTACTCTAAAAGGTTACAAGCTAACGTAATTTATGAGTTGATGAGTTTACTACGGAAAAACCACAGATGTCTAAAATGAGTGTCTTGTTTTCAAAAGAACACTGTGAATAAATAATTCTTGTATTTAGCACCAAAACTGCGTTTTTATATCGTGTAAGGACTAAATTGTCGGAAAAATATACTTTTAATTAGATAAATTATTAATAAACAGATATCTGATGTCACTAAACACTAATTTTCATTTTTCTCAAAATGAGAAAAATGTGAAATCTGTGGTTTTATATATATATATATATATATATATATATATATATATATATATATATATATATATATATATATATATATGTATATATATATATATATATATATATATATATATATATATATATATATATATATATGTATGTATGTATATATATATATATATATATATATATATATATATATATATATATATATATATATATATATATATATATATATATATGCATGTATATATATATATATATATATATATATATATATATATATATATATATATATATATATATATATATATATATATATATATATATATATATATATATAAGCAAAACGCATATGGAGGCACAACCGTTTTATAACATTTCCCTTTGATGTTATTACATGAACAATTTATTTATTTGTTAGCATATTACATATCTTTTATGATAACATCCATGAGCATTTCAACGGCGCGAACAACTGTTTCTTTGACTTCTTCTTGATCTAAAATTTAAAATGAATTAAGATTTTAGACAATTAAAAATTTCCTCAAATTTTGAAACTCAAAATAATTAAATAAAAATAACAACAAAACAACAAATAATATTAATTTGACGGGTAAATCAAAAAGATCCGAACCTATGCTTCTCTTGTACATCGAGGGCTCGTCTCCAAAACTTTGTGTCCATTTCTCAATTATGAAATTAACAGCATGTTTGTAAAGATCTGTAACTTTAGTAACAGATCTTTACAAATGTTATTTAATATAGCAAAGACAATACCACGCGTAGGTCAAACAGTTTCCTTCATTTTGCTTATGTCAAAAAAGTGCTCCTGCGTTTCTGAGAAGTTGTGCATAATAATGTTTATTTTGATAAAAATATTATATTTACATCATATTTTTCCAGACCTTTCTTTTGAGGAATAAGCAATATTTGATTTTAGTCTTAAAGATATGTGTTATCAGCATTATTTCATCAAGTGAAAACCATTTTTGATATCAACATAATCTAATAAGCAATGAAAGGTATGAAAGTGTATTCTTTCTAAAAACGTACTTCTAATAAGGCACAACCGTATACTTTTAATATTTATTAAAGTTAGGTAATTACGAATATATATCTGGTGATTATTATATCATGATATATTGTAGATTTATAATTATGTATTTCTTAATTTTTGAAATTTGAGAAAACTCAGATTGTAAATTCAAAGAAAACCTACACAGTATGCAAACGTGCAACAAAATCAGCTAATAATCTGATCTGTTACAATTGTAAATAAAATGTGCCACGGAAAGTGTACTTTCCGTGGTACATTTTACGTGTACTCCTAACAATTTTTGTGAGGGTGCGGTTGTGCCTCACAATGGGGGCAAAACCGTTTTTTTCATTTTCACAGTGTAATTTTTGCGTAATAACATTTTCAATAACTTTTTTCTTAATTGCATCAAATTAAAGCTTAATAATGTAGTTATTGAAACAAACTGTTAAAAAAACAATTTTTGTTTTTATTTTCATGTGACATTAATCAAAATGTTAAGAGGACGGTTTTGCCCCTACTTCTAATAATAATAATAATAATAATAATAATAATAATAATAATAATAATAATAATAATAATAATAATAATAATAATAATAATAATAATAATAACAATATTAGTATTAGTAATAATAAAAGTTAAAAGTTAAAAAAAAAAAAAAATACTAAAGAAAACAAAAATTGATTATAGAAATTATAAACATTAACTATATTTTTTTTAATAAAAAGTAGAACTGGTTTAAAAAGTTGAAAACGAATTGAGAGCTTTTAGTTCATAAGGAAGGTTGTTCCAAGTTTTAGTGTTTTGATATTTTATGGATTTATGCCTGTAATTATAAGAGCGGTGTTTAGAGACAGACAGGTTTAAATTACTAACGGAACGAAGGTGATAACGAGTGTTGGCACTTTTGGAAAAGAAATTAATGAAAGTTAAAGGTAGTTTATTGTGTTAGTGGTTCCAGACAAATTGACAGTTGAATATAATCACTATAGTTTTAATACTTTAGAAGTTAGGTAGAGCACATTATGATTAAATTTAATATTTTGAAAATAAATAATTTTTAAAGTCTTGTTTTGGAGGTGGGATAACCTAATAAGAGCTTGTTGATGGGACTGCCCACATACTAGGCATGCATATCTAAGATGTGAGCCAAAAATAGCATGGTATATGTTCCAGAGTGTCTCAAGATTAACATAATGGTGAACTTTGGCCAACATGCCATTAGATCTACTTAGTTTCATTGCTAAGTCTTTACAGTGGGATAAAAAGGAAAGATTTGAATCAATTTTATACCAAGGTATTTAATTGAGCTAACAGGTTCAATTTTTTAATTGAGCTAACAGGTTCAAACTTAATCTAAAATTCATATGTTTAAAAATTTTTGTTTTATTTGATTTTAAAAAAATTAGTTCAACTTTATTAGAGTTTAGAAAATGTTTGTTGGAACGAAGCCACTGAACTAGATTGGCAAAATCATGTTTAATGTGTTTGTTAATTTTTTTGAGGGATTTGTTAATAAGCATTAGATTAGTATCATCAGCAAAGTAGTAAACAGTAGCAAACTTAATGGGTGTATGAAGATCATTAATATAAAGAAGAAAAAGCAGTGGTAATAATACTGAACCCTGAGGAACACCATTAGAACATTTTACAAGGGTAGATTTTGAGTTATTAATAGAAACAAACTGTGCTCTATTGTTTAAAAATGTAGTAAACCATTTAAGCGGTACGCCTCTGATCCCATAATATTCTAATTTTTTCAATAAAATTGAATGATCCACTGTGTCAAACGCTTTATGTAAATCGACAAATAAACCACATGCAAAATATTTATCATCAAGTGCTTTTTTAATTAGTTCAGTCATTTTAATAAGAGCATGAGTTGTGGAGTGATTGGCACGAAATCCATACTGATGGGTGTTAAAGCATTTAAAATTTTCAAGAAAAGCATATAGACTAAAATGCATTGCCTTCTCAAAGAGTTTACCTATATTAGAAAGCAGAGAGATGGGTCGGTAATTGGTAAAATCTAGAAGAGAACATTTTTTAAATATTGCAATAATTTTGGCAACTTTAAAAATATCTGGGAAAATACCACTTTTAAATGAGTTATTTATAACAGTACAGAGAGGCTTTAAAATAATGTGTGAGACTTGATTGCCGAGAAATGTAGGTACGCTATTAGGACCATGACTTTTTTCTGTTTTAAGCGTGTTTGTTATGAGACCAGATATTTCATTTTCAGTTACCGGATTAATAAAAAACGAATTAGCATTTGGAATGTTAAGAAAGTCACTAAATATGCGTTTAGGGGGTATGGCTTTGCTAAGTAGTTTGTTATGTATAGTACTTAAGTAATTATTAAATACATTAGATACGACAGTGTGATCAGTGATAAGATTTTCCTTCAATTTAAAAAATGTAATGTATGTAGAAGGTCTAATATTGATGATTTCTTTTATTCCCTTCCAGGTGTTTTTAATATTGTTCAGATTATTGTTAAAATAAGTAATAAAGTTTTTTTGCTAAATTTTAATAAAGTAAAAATTTTGTTTCTATAAAATTTAAATTTTGCAAATAATTCATTTTTCTTATAAATATTTTTTGATTTTATAAACTTTTTATAAAGTTTTTTTTTTAACTGAAATTTAAGTATTCCATGCGTAATCCAAGATTATCATCATGTTACATGACAAGATAAATACGTATTCCATAAGTATTCCATACGTAATCCAAGATTTTGATTTTAGTTTAATTTGTTGGTTGGTTAATAAATATTGGTGTTATATAAGGAGCATGTCGGTCTTTTTTTTTCATTTTTCATCAAATGTTTTCAAAATAAAATTCATGGATTTATTAACATTACCATCTTTTTTAATGAAGAGTCCCCAGTTGATATCAGAAATTTTTTCAATAAATATATTTTTATTAAATTTTTTGAAGCATCTTTTGTAAGTTTTTACTTTTTTGGGGTTTTGGGGTATGCCAGGAATGCAAATAAATTGTGCCATGTGGTCTGAAATTGTAATCGTAAGGTTACCTGAGAATTGATCAGTTGAATGAAAGTTCGTGAATATGTTATCAATGAGCGTTTTTAATGTAGCCGTTATGAGTGATGGTAAAATTTTAGAAGGGCTAAGTGAGTAAGATGTTAAAGAATCTAAATATATAGAAACAGGGTTAGATTCATTGTGACTTAATAAATCCATATTAAAATCAACCAATAGAAAAATCTTTCTTTTTTCATTACTTATCTTTTCAATTAGAGGAGTTAAGTGGGAAGAAGTAAATTCATGTTGATTCATTGAGGGATGACGATAAATGCAAACAATTACTATATTTGATTCACAAGGTATTAAAATTTCAAAAAAATTGACTCTAAATATTTTGATAAGTAAATCATAAGATCATTGCGAACGACGTAGTTTAAATTTGAGCATAAGTATAAAAGTGCTCCTCCTCTTTTTAACCTCAGTAGGATAATCCTCAATATTAAACCCGTTTATGTATATATCAGTTATATTTGTATCGTTTATATATAAATTAGATTATGTAATACCTATTGCTAGAGGTAAATTATTAAGAGAGCTGATAAGACTACAGAGTTCGTCAATGTGGAATGGTATAGAAGCGATGTTAAGATGAATATATAGCTCTAAATTGGGAATCATAGTTTTATTGAGATCAATAACGCCGTAGTATTTGCAATTAACAGAACTGGGAAATTTATTTAGATCTTTAAAGATATTTTTATGATTACTTGGAGTCTCAAAAGAATTTAATGAACTACCCAGTAAGCACATAAACGTTTTTAAAACGTTTTTTTAACTAAGAAAAAAAACGTTTTTTAAACGTTCTGAATGGCAATACCTAAAAAACGTTTTTAAAAAAGCGTTTAAAAAACGTTCTGAAAAAGTCGTTTAAAAAACGTCCTAAAAAAAACGTTTAAAAAACAATCTTAAATAACCTAAATAAAACCATAATTTAGGCGTCTTTTAAACTTTTAAAAGACGTTATTTTTTAGATAATATTCCCAAATCCATAGGTACTATTATTAAATTGTTTTTAAAAGAACCTGTTGGTTTAAAAAACAAGAAAAATAAAAAATTTATTTAAAAGTTATTTTTAAATTTATTTTTTAAAACAATTTACAAACAAAGTAATATTATAACGATGGATTTAAAGGCACTTTAAGACAAGCAAAAGTTGCCCGTTTTCACGAATCAGCAATTATTGCATCGACAATCGACTCTGTGTATGATTCATGAGAAGTCAATGCACAAACTAAAAGAAAAAACTATATATTTAAAACAGACAATCTCAACAGTAATAATAGTATTATAGTTTAATAATAATATATAGTATAATAATAATAGTAATAAGTTTTTAAATTACAAAAATATGTTTTAAAAATATATATATATAACTTCACATATAAAATATATCTACTATATACATACAAAATATATCTACTATAGTAGATATATTTTTGCATAATAATGACTTAAGCTCCAAGTTGGAAATCGATCTAAAGACCATACTCTTAGATAGACAGCTATGACAATACAAATATATATATATACACATATATATATATATATATATAAATATATATATATATATATTTATATATATATAAATATGTATATATATATATATATATATATATATATATATATATATATATATATATATATATATAT